GGCAGTACATCAGCTCATGGGCTGCTTGTGGATCAAAAGCATTACCTTCAGTGCAGGCTGAAAATAGAAAACAGACATGACTGTGAAGTTTTTCATGTGAAAAAAGTGGGAGAGGAGCTTGTGTCAGGAAGAACTGGACAGAATTTCACTGAAATGGAAAATAAGGAGGTGAGTAAGTAGGTGTATGTGACACAGAAGATAGGAAACCTGGGTCTAATAAAAGTTTCTGGTATTACAGATGGCCTGATTTTCTTCCCCTCTCATGACACGTTACTGAAATTTGAATTCTCTGATTTCAATTATTACACTATTTATATTGCTGTAATACCAAGAGTCTCTGTAGAGAAGAGGCCTCATTATTAATGTAATGCAAACAACTCTAATGGTTCCAGCTTCAAAGACATCCTAATGAAAATGGATCAAGGAGATGAAGAGTGGTGTGGAGGAAATACCAGCACGTCTGTGTGTGTGAAGAACTGCAGCACTGGGAGCTCAGGAGGTGGGATCAAGTGATGGAAACCCTTCATTAACACAGATCTCCAGTCCTGTCCCATCTCCTGGTGCTTCTCTTTGGGATGGCTGTGCTTATGCTTAGAGATGGGTGGCCTGAAACCAACAGAAGAAGACTGGGATTGTGTTTGGTTCAGTGCAAGTGGGATGAATGGTTTGGTGTTTCTGCCCTTGAGATGAGGCCCATCTTTCCCTCAGGCTCTCTGAGGTTGCCAGCAGCCATCCCACCTGTGTAGCTACTCAGAAGCCCACAGCTCTTCTCCTGCTCAGGGCTGTTCTGGGGCTGCACATCTGTTTGTCCCATTTTTTCAATGTTTTCTGCACACCTCAATTTCCAATTTCTATGCCTATGGGTTTGGGTTTTCTTGGCTGGTCTCCCTTCTTATGGTTTGGGGGTTTTTTTGTAGGTTTTTTTCTCCTGACTCAGAGTCCTTCTCTACCAGTGTCTTTTCCATTTATTCCAATTTCTATGCCTATGGGTTTGGGTTTTTTTGGCTGGTCTCCCTTCTTATGATTTGGGGGGTTTTCTGTAGGTTTTTTTCTCCTGACTCAGAATCCTTCTCTACCAGTGTCTTTTCCATTTGCATCCACTTATTTGGTCAAGCTCAGTGGCCCTTAGGTGCTGTCATTTTTCCCATCACATATCCATGTGTGTGGATCACTTTTTTGGTTGTGATCCCTTGTTTTTTGCAATGTGTTCTTTGAAGCTTTACAATCAGGCTCCAGAATCCTATTTATTTTCAAGGACCCCTTTTTTTATCTTCCCCCTCCTTTCTATTTCAAGACTGAGCTAGAGTTTACCTATTAGTTAGACAGGTTTCTTTATTTTGTGGCTTTTCAGAAAAGTCCATAGTACAGAAATATAATGATCTTAAATCAGCAAAACATTGCTATTTGAGTTACAAAAGAATCTGTAGTGTCCATATGTCACTGGAAGGGCAGCTGGGAGTTCAGCAAGTGCGTAACTTCAAGCGTGTGCCCAAGTGCTCTGGAGAATGAGGCCCCAGGCCTGGGCTGCAGCCCTTTCTCTGCCTTCTGCAGGAAGCTGTGATTTTTATCACACCCAATAATTTAAATAAAAACATCCAGATAAGCAGCAAAATATTTGGCTGAGGGAAGGCAAGCAGACAGAACTCGATCTTGTGCTTCAGAACGGCTGCGGCTTCAGAAGGGTTCACAAACCCCCAAGCTTGTCTGTTTTCTTTCCCCCAAACAAATGATCTTTTCCAATAAAGATATAACTGCTGCCTATAAACCTGTCTTGCTGTCTGTCTCCAGACTATCAGAGCTTCCGTGCAATATGCAGATAAATAAGGGTGTGTGGAAGATTCAATTTGCTCCCTGGAACGTGACTTTGCACCACAAGCATCGCTGTGTCATGATAGAGTAGGAGTGGTGAAATCTAACTGCACTTTGTGTAGATATTCTTCCCTTTTCCCAGGATATTTTTCTAGTGGTTGCACTTTCTGGACCACGCCATGAAATGTGGAAATAGTACATCTGTGCACAAATGCTGATCCCTCCACCTCTCTTTTTTTCTTCTGCTTTGGCCGATGTGGGGCTGTTAATGCTTTGTGGAATTAATAAGAAAGGCAACTTGCACGTGTAGGAGTACCAGGAAGACTGGGATGCTTCCTGATACCCAGCTGCAGCTCCATAGTGTCAGACTGCTTGGAAGAAGTATAGGTGATTTATCCAGGGGAGGAAAAAATATACTCATAGGGTTTCTTAAAATTTAGATTTCAAGAAACTTTCAGAATGCAAATCCTACAAAATAACAGAAGGGCCTGAGTCATTTAATTCATATAGATGTGACTGCTGCAGTGAGCCAAGGGAAAAAAAAATTGGGGCTGCAGCCAAACTTTTCTCATTTCTCTGAGATATGCTTATAAATTTCTGATCTGTGCAGGAAGCTTCATGTCTTAGAATAAAGAGCTGTGAGGTTCTGGCTAGACCCTCATGGGAGGATGAGATGGTATCTCATGGCTGGGCAGGAACATGGTTGAATCACCCTGATTGAAACCCTGGAGGTTTTTAAAAGACTGTAGATGTGGTGCTGAGGGACATGGTTTAAGCACTGGACTTGGTAGAACTGGGTTAATGGTTGGTAGTTTGGGGTTATGTTTGGACTCAATGATCTTAGAGGTCTTTTCCAACCAGAAGGATTCTGTGTGATTCTGTGATCTCACATCCCTCTACGGGGGTGACCCCAATCGTGTGCAGGGTTTGGACCATCATTCCCAAGGGCTGGTGCTCCCAGACCTCATCACTTGGTGTTTTCTGAGGGTGGGGTGAGAGCCCCTTCTCTACAGGAACATCTCTAGAAGAAGCATCTTTCCTCTCCCCAGTGTACTTTATCTTTTTATCCTACTTGTTTTGTTGGTGTTTTAGGGTGAGTGTAACTTTCAAAATATTCGTCTTCTGCCAATTTCAGCTTAACAGTAATGACAGCACAGATGTTTTTTCAATCACTAAGTGGAGCTCATTCTGCCCCAAACTTATCTGCAAGAGCATTAGATGGCCAGAGAGGGCAGGGAAGGTTGGTGGGATGGCAGCATCTGGGTTTGGGGCCAGCCCTGACCCTCCAGCTCTTCTTTCACTCCCATAAAATGGTTCAGCCCTGAGCTGGGATTGAGCTGCTCAAATTCTGCCCCAGCACCTTCCCTCTACCCCTCCGAGCACAAAGGCAATGAAGGGAAAGGAAGAAGGTGGATCAGACCAGCCTTTCTCCATCTCAATGGAGGGTGGATACCTTTCTGGGTGAGTACATTTATAGGCAGAAATTCTTTCCTGTGAGGCTGGTGAGACCCTGGCCCAGGTTGCCCAGGGAAGCTGTGGCTGCCCCATCCCTGGCAGGTTGGAAGGGCAGGTTGGATGGGGCTTGGAGCAACCTGGTCTGGTGGCAGGTGTCCCTGCCCATGCAGGGGGATTGGATCTGGGTGATCTTTAAGGTCCCTTCCAACCCAAACAAGTCTGTTATTCTAGGCTGGACTTGATGATCTAGGCTGGGCTTGATGATCCTAAAGGTCTTTTCTAGCCTTGGTAATTCTGTGTGTGATTTAGTGTGTGATATGATTCTAGAGCACTTGCAAAGACTCAGGTTTCATTCTCATGGGGTCCAAGTGCCCCAAAGATCTCAAATGCAATGTGAAGTGAAGCGTGTGCCAAACTCCACCAGCATCTTTATTGTCCCATGGCACCTGGAAGCCATCCCTATCTTCTCTTTAAGATGTATTCTCCATCTCATTTCCAGCCCTTGTACTATGACATTGCTTTTCAGACCTTTGCTTTGACAAGCACAAGACCATTAGGATGTTTAATGAGAGTAAAAACACTTGGTAAATGTAAATAACAAGTAAATGCATGAGAATAACTCTCTGACATCACAGTATGAAGTCATCAGCCTGTGCAGGAGTGGAGCATCATTTCAGGGAGGGCTTCTGCTTTTTTCTGGACTTAATTTTTTTTTTATACTAATGAGAGTGTGCATCCTTGGTGCCACAGAGCTCTCAGTACTTCACCACCTCCTGGAGTGTTCACAGAGAAATGCTGAGGCTGCCAAGGAAATATTCAGTCTTTTGTGTGCAGTTCAAACTTGTTAAAATGGAGCAAACCCACATATTTCTGTGTCTGATGGAGTGAGGTGGTGCATTAAGAAGTGTTTGGGGGGTTATAAAATACCAAGGGTGAACCTGGAACCTGGAGCTTTGGGGAACCCAAAACCAGGTTGTTAGATCTGTCCTGTGACTCCAACTTACAAATTGTGACCCTGCCATAGAAATGGGAAGGACTTGAGGGGAAAATATGGGATTGGGCCTGCCCTGGGGGAGCCTGTGCCAGGCAACCACAGGGTTTGTTCACCCCAGGGAAGGGAGGGCTCCAGTCACACCCCCTAGGCCACTGTCCCCTCTCCTGCCACCACTGATGTGAATCAGATGCAGTGCGACTGTGTCTGGGGAGAACAGGGATTGGGGAGTGGAATGATCAAGGCTCATTTCTTACCTTAATTATGGAAAAATAGTCCTGATAAAATCTTATCTCTTCTGAATCCCTGCAGCTTGTTTACCCTCCTAATGGTGATGCTGGAAAGCCACCCACCTACTGTGTTCCCCCTGCAGTGGGGAAAAAAAGTCCAAATTCTAGTATGGTTATGAATGGAACACTTTCAGTAGTGGTGTTCATACCTCTCCAGTTTGTTTAAATTTAGGTCTTGCTTCCCTACTCCTTACCTTTGCAACCTACTTATGCTGCAGAAGTGCACCATCTAATCAGCAGTGGAAATCACCTTGACACTTCTCTCCCAGAACCTCATCTGCAGAAATTTGTGCAGCTTTTGCTGCTGACAGCACGAGCCCACAAGGTTTTAATGTTTCATTCTTTTTCCTGAATGATCTCCTTTTTGAAATATGCTGCCAGGTCCCCCAGATATCAAGGCTCCTGTTGTCACATGCTGTTCCTGACTAATGTGAATTCCTTCTCCCTGTCCCTAGGTGAGAATGTGGACAGCAAACTGGAGCCATGGAGACAGCAGATGCCAAAGGACCAGTCACAAGTTTACGAGATAACTGTTCCCTTCCTTCTAAATGGAGAAGAGTGGAGACCAGTAAATGGCATTTTTTCAAAGGTCAGTCTTCATTTTGCCTATTATTTTATTGCAAGATGTGTAACAATTAGAATGCTTAAGGAGAAAGTAAGTGTACTTTTTTCATGCAATCTGTTACAAGTGTATTGCTGTAGAGAGTCTCCTGTCTAAAATTCCTTATCTGACTTCAGAAAATGGACAAGGTCTTTGATTGAAAGGGATAAGTTTTTCATTGCAAAGTGACTTTTTTATTTCTGATGGCCAAAACAGAAGCTTAAAGTGAAATAGGTTTTTTAAGAGGTTAGTATATATTACTTGAGATTATATCATACAAAACAGCCCCAAAACTGAGGGAGGAGCAAGAAAGACTCTCTGGTCTCCTGCCTGACTTATGAAGACTAAGTAGTTCTTGTTTATTATCACAAAGATGTCATGGAAATCTCTTACCTAGCCTTTTTAATTCAGTTTTGTGGCAGTTTATTTTTTGTATTATTATTATT